GGAAGGCAGAGTTTACTGAGCCCCAGATCCGAGAGCTGAAAGACCACCGCAAATTCATCTTGATCTGTGACGGGTATGATGAGAGCCAGCAGACGCACAACCTGTACACGAGCAACCGACTGAATCAGGTGGGGGGATGGAGCGCTCAGATGGTCATTAGCTGCCGCAGCGAGTATATTGGGCTCGATTATCGGGATCGGTTCCAGCCAGCAGACCGCAATCACCAAGCAGAGCCAGCATTTCAAGAGGCGGTCATTGCGCCATTCTCTATAGGTCAAATCCAAGAATACATAAGGAAATATGTGTCTGCGACGAGGCCGGTCTGGCAAGTGACGGACTACTTGAATGTCCTTGATCTGATTCCTAGCCTGCAGGACCTGGTCAAGAACCCGTTTATGTTGACGCTGTCCTTGGAGGTACTGCCGCGCATGGTGGATCCAGGACAAGACCTCTCGGCCATCCGAGTCACGAGAGTCGCATTGTATGACCAGTTTGTGGAGCAATGGCTGGAGCGAGGCAAGAAGCGGCTCGTCAAGAAGAAGGACTTGAGCTATCAAGAGAAGAAGGTGTTCGAGAACTTGTCCGACGATGGTTTTGCACAGAACGGAGTTACCTTTCTGAAAGCGTTAGCGACAGCGATGTACAAAGAGCAAGGGGGCAACCCAGTGGTCGAGTACTCGCCCTTCCGCGATCAAGGGGCATGGAAAGAAGGCTTCTTTAGCCGAGAGAACGAGAAGCAACAGCTCTTGCGTGAGGCATGTCCTCTGACGCGCAGCGGCAATCAGTACCGGTTTATCCATAAATCACTCCTGGAATACTGCTTGGCCCGAGCAGTGTTTGAGCCACGAGGCGGAGAGAACGCGAGTCACGCGGCCTTATCTCAAGGCCTGCCACGCCGAGGGAGCGTCCATTCCGTCATGAGTTATGAAAGCCAGACTGCTGTAGAGGAGCCCGTGACAGCCATTGAAGAGGCGGTGCTCGATTCGCCCTTGGCATGGAAACGCTTTGTGGGCGAACCGTCGATTCTGCAATTCTTAGCGGAGCGTGTCCAACAGGAGCCTCTCTTCAAGCAACAGCTGCTCGCCACGATCGAGTGCTCCAAGACCAACAGAGAGGCACGCAAGGCGGCGGCCAATGCGATCACGATATTGGTCAGAGCCGGGACACTGTTCAACGGCGCAGATCTGAAAGGCATCCAGATTCCAGGAGCGGATTTGAGTGGGGGCCAATTCGATTCTGCACAGCTGCAAGGGGCAGATTTGAGAAAAGTCAATCTCCGCAATATTTGGCTGCGTCGGGCCAATTTGAGCAATGCGCAGATGGGGGGCGTGCAGTTTGGCGAATGGCCGTACCTCTCAGGAGAAAGCGGGGTGAGATCCTGCGCGTATTCACCCGATGGGAAGTTCTGTGCTGTAGGTCCTGGGGACGGCGCGATCAGCGTGTATGACACTTCGACTTGGGCAAAAGCCCACACCTTGCGCGGCCATACCTCCTATGTTTGGAGCGTGGTGTATTCGCCCAGCGGCCAGCAGATCGCCTCAGGCAGTTACGACAAGACGGTGCGACTATGGGACGCGCAAACTGGTGCACCCGGTCACATCTTAAGTGGGCATATCGACGGTGTTTTGAGCGTGGTGTATTCGCCTAGCGGCCAGCAGATCGCCTCAGGCAGTTACGACAAGACGGTGCGGCTGTGGGATGCGCAAACCGGTTCACCCGGCCCCATATTAAGCGGCCATATCTCCGATGTTACGAGCGTGGTGTATTCGCCTAGCAGCCAGCAGATTGCCTCGGGAAGTCTCGACAAGACGGTGCGACTATGGGATGCGCAAACTGGCGCACCTGGTCACATCTTAAGCGGCCATACCGACGGAGTTGAGAGCGTGGCGTATTCGCCTAGCGGCAATCAGATCGTCTCAGGAAGTCGGGACAATACGGTGCGGCTATGGGATGCGCAAACCGGTGCACCTGGTCACATCTTAAGCGACCATACCTCCATGGTTAAGAGCGTGGTGTATTCGCCCAGCGGCCATCAGATCGCCTCGGGAAGTGTCGACAAGACGGTGCGACTGTGGGACGCGCAAACTGGTGCACCCGGTCACATCTTAAGTGGGCATACCGCGGTGTTTGAGCGTGGTGTATTCGCCTAGCGGCCAGCAGATCGCCTCAGGCAGTAACGACTGGACGGTGCGGCTGTGGGATGCGCAGGCCAGTGCGCCTGGTCACATCTTTAGCGGCCATACCGACAGAGTTACGAGCGTGGTGTATTCGCCCAGCGGCCAGCAGATCGCCTCGGGCAGTTACGACAAGACGGTGCGGCTGTGGGATGCACAAACCGGTGCACCTGGTCACATCTTAAGCGGTCATACCAGCTGGGTTGGGAGCGTGGTGTATTCGCCCAGCGGCCAGCAGATCGCCTCGGGCGGTTACGACAACACGGTGCGACTGTGGGATGCGCAAACCGGTGTACCCGGTCCCATCTTAAGCGGCCATACCGACAGAGTTACGAGTGTGGTGTATTCGCCCAGCGGCCAGCAGATCGCCTCGTGCAGTTACGACAACACGGTGCGACTGTGGGATGCGCAAACCGGTGTACCCGGTCCCATCTTAAGCGGCCATACCAAATGGGTTAAGAGCGTGGTGTATTCGCCCAGCGGCCAGCAGATCGCCTCGTGCAGTTACGACAACACGGTGCGACTGTGGGATGCGCAAACCGGTGTACCCGGTCCCATCTTAAGCGGCCATACCGACTGGGTTACGAGTGTGGTGTATTCACCCAGCGGCCAGCAGATCGTCTCAGGAAGTCGGGACAATACGGTGCGACTGTGGGACGCACAAACCGGTTCACCTGGTCACATCTTAAGCGGTCATACCGACAGAGTTACGAGTGTGGTGTATTCACCCAGCGGCCAGCAGATCGCCTCGGGCAGTGACGACAAGACGGTGAGGCTGTGGGATGCGCAAACTGGTACACCTGGTCACATCTTAAGCGGCCATACCGGCGGAGATGTGAGCGTGGTGTATTCGTCTAGCGGCCAGCAGATCGCTTCGGGCGGTTACGACAAGGCGGTGTGGCTGTGGGATGTGAATTCGGGTAAATGTTTGGCAGTTGTTGAAGATTGTTATGGATCAATCACAAGCATCGCCTGGAATCCTATTCCAAACGGCACCTACTTCGCAACCGGCTGTGACGATAAGTCTGTTCACATGTGGCAGGTCATAGAAGAGGAGGGTCGCTATCAGGTCCGCCTGCATTGGAGTTCGATGCATGACAGACTTGTCGTGTCAAATGCCTCTATCCAAAACGTCAAAGGCTTAAGCAGGATAAATATGCGGCTATTAGAGCAACGCGGCGCTGTGGGCGAGCCGATCCCACCTCTGGACTTCCGCGAGGCAAGCAGAAAGCTAATGACCATGGCATCCGTGGCGTATAAACTCAAGGTGCCGTCAAACCACAGTATGATGGATACCGCTGCCACGGCCGATTCTCCCGCTGTACAGTCAGCAAAGCCGGTCGATTCGGCGAATATCTTTTCGCTTGCTTGAAGGGTGAAGGTGATGCAAATAGGAGATTAGCAACGGTGCCTTGATTTCCACTCAATGCCACTTTTAGTGCTTTCTGAAGGCAATATACCCTCACAGTCTTTGTCCATGACGAGTTCACAAATTAAAAGTGATGCTCAAGAACGCAAACTGAAGCACTCAATGGGTTATAAAAACCAAAGATCTGGAGAAAGCGATGAACAATGAAGAGATCAAGGTAGGATCTCAGGGTATTGTGTACCCATAAAAGTTGACCATGGCAGCCCGCTGTCTTAAGTAATACGTGCAAGGAAAACATAGCTCTCCTGATTCTAAACAATCCCCTCGCGGAAAGTATCGTCTCAACTTCCTTCACCGGCCCTGGCCAATATCACCAGCAGCACCACTGCGGCCAACACCAGATCTACAGCCAACAACGCACTCGCCATACTGAAGCAGATTCCAGTAAGCGTTGAATTGTCCACCCACTAATAAGCAACGTGAGCTGGGTTTAGATAGCTGTGAGACAGGTTAGGTTAACTCTCTGATGAAATGGTGTTGCATTAGTAATTAAACTTAGTACGTGGAACCGCTCATTCGGATAACTGGTATTTGGGCCTGCCTGAGCAAGCAATGGCCTGAAGCTATCATCCATTGGATTATGGCCGAACGCCTCTAAGTTAGGATCCGCGCTAGAACGCGACGATAACCGCCATTTCCGATTTTTAATTGAGTGCGAGTAGATCCTCGAGTCCTGAATCATGCTACGTGGGGGTGGTCTTTGTAGAGCGGGAAGGCTTTATGAGGCTCCTATGGATGCTTATTACAAACGTTGGAACAGATAAATCCATTGCAGACAACTTTTAAGTAATGGTGTACTGTGCGCTGCCGTTACGTCCATATTAAATCGTGAGCTCAATTGTTGTACGACCGTCCTGGAGGTGTTGGTTGCTCCAGTGTTGTTGAACTTCGTCACGATTTCCGTCAAGGCTTCTCTATATCGATGGTTCCAGTTGTTTTTGAGGTCGACCTTGTGTTGGTGATGACACTATTAGGTCTGGGGGAGTGAGGGTTCATCGTCTTTAAAACCATTCTCGCTCTCGTAGTAACGAATGACCCTCCCTGCCATTAAATTCGATGCGCCAGCAACCTTAGCCAGTCGCTCGTGCGTGCGGGAACCAAGACGACGCGTCAGCTCGGGCGGGAGCAGTTCAAGGAGTCGATGGACCTAGTACCCCACTATTTGCACGCTTTGGCCCAGCTCTCTCCTTAACCTCCAAAAAAAAAAAAAAAAAAAAAAATCACGGACCACATTGCATCCACAACAAATTACTTTGAGACTTCATCAAATTATAATATCAATCAATACCGCAAAGGCGCCAAAGGCCAAATCGATCAAAAAAGAGCCCAAACCACCTAAACCACCCAAGCATAGAATAGTCATTACTATGCCTCGCAGGAAGCCAGAGTTTGGTATGGAAACTTTCGGCACAGAATCAACAGATGCTATTGCACCAGCAGTTGTAGAACAGGGACAGCAGGAGTCAACGGAAAGTGCCACCAATGCTCAACAGGGCGAAAACGGACAGAGCGCAACTCAGTATCCACAGGACGGCTCCACTACAAACATCAATGTATCGACAGCAACTGTTGAAAATGGAGGGAGCGCACAGCCTACGCAGAATGAGCAACGACCAACGCAGCACATGCAGCAGCCTCAGCAGAGTGTACCGAGTCCAGGCGTCCTGTCATTGTATGCGCTACAATATGCGAACAGTAGTTACTTCCGTCGTGATCCGTCATTAATGGGCCTCAGGACTCCCAGTACTCCTGCCACTCCTGGCTCCACAGGTCTAGCGACCTCTCATTCAGCACAGACATCTTACTTCCCTGCCACACCGGCCAGTGGAAATACCATCGCTACAAGATCGATGTTCGGTGGATGTCCAAAACACCATTACAATCCTCACTTCGAAGAAACGGCCATCAATAGCGGGCTCGATAGCAGTGAGCAGTCATCATCACCGATTTTCAAAAATCTCGGGCATTATACCTCTGATGTACCTGAAATGAAACGACAGCGGCATATCAGATCCGAGATACTCCCCACCATTATCACCAATTCCTCATCTCAAGGACCACACCGTCACCCCTCTTCTCAAATATCTTCTGCCCTTCAGACCCCTGCCATCTTTGGACAGTGCAGTGATCACCAAGCTTTCGCAGCTGCAGCCGCAGGATCAGGATCAGGATCATACCCCACGCCGGTCACCAGTGCCGCGACTCCCAGAAGCCCTAACTCTATGAGCGAATGGCGCATGATGCAAATGCAGCTCCAGCAACAGGACGAGGTATATTTCTCTTTGGCATTACCATCTGTGAGCACTATGTCGCTCAACACCCTGAGCTCACACATGTCGAGTTCGTATTCGACATCTGCACTGACGCCCATCGCCGTCGGCGGTGGGACCGTCACAGCCTCGGCATGTTCCTGCTGCGATTGCAATTCCAACAACAGCTCTCCTCCTTCTACACGAATATGCATTGCCCAGAGCCCAGTTTCGGCGACACCAACATTTGGGGCCCAGGTGTCAGGACTGGATAGTGTAACTCAGCACCACAGCATTTTGTTACCTACAAGTTCGTCGAGAAGCTACTTATCTGCTACTGAGAGTTCCAAAGTAAACGGCAGTAAGCGGCAATCATGGATCGGGGGCAGCATCCACCAGTACCGCCAAAACTATTCGTTTCATCAGGCGCAAATGCACAGTCACTGTAGTGCCAGCACCATCAGCGGCGGCTGCTTGTCCAATCAGGACGCGTGCGCACAGGGCACACCGCACGGACACGGACTTGGATTAGTCCAGGCGCCGCTCGCAACCTTTCGATTTGAATACGCACCCAGTTTGGTCGACCCATCCGAGTTTGAGCATTCATCTCAACATAATACTCTTTATCATCGCCATGGCGGCAGCGGCATCGATAACTATGGATCAAGTCCTGCAGGAACAAAGGCGCCCATGAGCCAGTTTGAAAGCCATTCATATCTACTCTCAGCTCCAACTTCTGCGATTGGATATCATACGAGGAGCAAGACCAAAGACTGTGGAAACTGTCTCCAATATTGTTGGCATCGATTCATGACAGAAGCTGGAGCATTAACAGCCGGAGCATTAACAGCCGGAGCGCAGGCACCAGCATTGGCCACACTAGCAACTCCAGAGACGGTCACGCTTGGAGGAGTAGAGATAGGAGTTTCTATTTCAAACATG